TAACAATAATTATTTCTCTCAAATTCAAACGCAAAAAATAGTACTATTCAAATACAAAAAATAGTAATATTCAAAAAAAAAAATAGTAACATTGAATATTAATTTTTAAGAAAATAATAGTAGTAAGAGACTCAACAAAAATAGTAACATGCTCAAAAATAATAGTACATAAACTGTAACATACTCAACAAAAACAGTAACATGAACATTAACATAATAAAAAACATAATAACATAAATTTGAATTTTACTATTCAAATTCATAGTAATTTTTTTGTGTTTGAAGGTTACTATATATATACCTAACCTATATATGGATATATATAAATAAGAAAGATGAAAATTTTAAATTTTAGTCAAACTTTTAACTTATATATAGATATAGATAGATATGAGAGAAAAAATTAACTTCCTTTAAAGGAAGGGTATTTTTGATCTCCAAATACATTTATAATGACCCACTTTCAATTTTTACTTTTTTTTAATTGTATTGGGCCACATGGACCGGACCACAGTCTATGCATCAGCCCAACATTAAGCAAGACAGTCTGTCGGCCCTAGTTGTCTAAAAAATATGGATAATGTTCTTACCATTGGGCATTTAGGCTCTCTGAGACCACCAAATAGCAGGTTGGCTAGGCCCATAGACTAATGGGCTAACAGGATAAACTTGTGGTTCACGGGGGGCATTTCTAGGCTTACTATTGTAAAAGCAATTTTTAGTGTTTTTCCCTTGGAAAAAAAAAACAGTTGATTAGGTTAGAATCCCTCCTTTGGTGTGTAAACTAATTTTAGTTTTAACGAATTTATAAAATATAAAAAGGTTCTCCATATTTTAAAAAAACATTGCATGCGGGTCCCTTTGTGGGCTAGAACCTATAGGGGTTGCGCAGTTAGTGTATTTTCATTGCTCATTTTGTCTTCAACATATGATTTCAGACTAAAATACAGTTAATTTTTTTTTTTTTTTGGTGTTTGTTATTAAGGATTTTTGTGGTGTTGTCTATCATTTTTTAATTTCAAATTCGTGAATCAAGCAATTTAGAATATATCTATCGTTTATCTTAAGTGTTGATTTAGTAAATACACAAATAAGATCGCAACAATTAAGTTTTACGTATTTGTTGATAAGTTTAGGTACTTGTTCGTTATTGACGGGTCTGACCCAGACCAGGCCGAGTCCAAAATTGCAAACTAGGCTAGTTCAAAGGCCCAATTTAGAAATAGATATCAAGTCCAAGTTACCGATGCAACCCGCCCTAGGCCAAATCCATCATCTTGGAAAACTCAATTAACTAGTGACTTATGTGAGATCTCCATTTTAGGTAGGGAATTAAGGTACGCATCGCATGCCTCAAACTACCTTATTTGTTACGCCAATATCACAAAGTCACTCACTCCTGTCACAAAGGTGATGCCTTAATCAGGGCTCTCCGCAATGTCTCCTCCATCAAAGCCCCTCTAAGGCGCCATGAAGACTGTTCTCTCTTATAAATTATAAGTCACACCTACACATAGGGGCATGACATACATCTCGGCACACTACACCTCTCAAGTAATAAGATTCTCTAGCCACCGTCACCATTCTCAGTGGAGGTCACCTAGAACGAACCCCCTAATTTTTGTATTTGCTTGTGTTGAGCCCTATTTATTTCACCCTTGATTGATTTTACATAAACCCACTTTTGTGCATCATCAATTATGATTTATGTAATTTTAAATTGTAGTTGGTTTTATGTACTTGTGTACCGACGTTTATGTACCTTCTTCTCAATTAAATACTGATGTATTTATCTCATAGATGTATATATTCGTAAAAATGTACCTGAAAAATCATGTATGTTGTTCGTCATATATAATATGTTGTTGTACCAATGTAAACACGTGTATATTAATTGCACACTTATTGTGCTTGTTAATATATTTTTTTGTGTGTATCTGTTCCAAAGATATACTGAATTCAGTCTCTATTAGTAAATGGATTTTAATATACCTGTGAATCACCAGTTAATGGGTACGTTAAATCAAGAACATGTTATCTTTTTTTTAGGAGAAGATATATTATAATGATGTAACTTTTTAGAATAAGTGTTTCAATTAAATTATGACATTGTCGTTATTTTTGCAATTTTAAAATACGTTATTTATGTTCATTACTTTGACTTTTCAACAGGAACCTAATCCAAAAACAAATTGGCTAGTGGATTGTTTTTGGAATCCTATTGTCCCAAGGTATAGACCTCCAAAAATCCCAAAAAATATACTGGTTTTTCTAATTTTGACCAACATTAATTTCATACTCAAATAGATAGTTTTAGCTATTTCTTCCTTATTTAATTAGCACCGTCAATTGCCACATTTTTTTCTAGTTGGTGGTGTTTTTCTATGCAAGCCATAGGCACATGACTATTTCTATAGGGGGTATAAGGTTTTTTCTATAAATTTTTTTCGTGAGGATTGACAATTGCTTATGCAGGCTATAAAGTACAAATATAAGAAACGTGAACCATAACATGCAATAAGATACATCAAATGTTATGATAGGACTTTGACTTAGTAGTATTTGAGTTTGTTAATAACTCCTACTTAGTAGGGATTTTTGACTTTTTCCATAGGTTGTTAATGTGGTGCTGATTTTGTGTTATTCAGCTGATTTTGTGTTGCTCTGTTACTCACGTAAGGCTATATATATATCCGTTTCATGTTACTTGAAAAATCTAAAAAAGTATTCTTCCAATTCTTGTATCTCCTCATATTCTCACATCTGGTATCAGAGCTAGTGCTATGGCCACTAAGAGCATTTTTGTTCAACTTGCCATTCCAAAGTTTAATGGACACTACGATCACCAGAACATGCTCATGGAGAACTTTCTTCGTGCAAAGATTGGATGTTGATAGAAGATGAGTTTCCTAGATGGGTTTCCTGCCGCAACAGTCGGTACAAAACCTACAGATGTACAGAAGAAGGCAAAGGCTGATCCGAGATTAAAGGACTTGAAGGCCAAAAATTATCTCTTTCAAGCCATAGACAGGTCCATCCTTGAGACTATCCTCAGAAAGGATACCTCAAAGGATATTTGGGATTCAATGAAGCTGAAGTATCAAGGGAATGCAAGGGTCAAACATGCATAACTCTGCAGAGAGTTTGAGGTTCTTCTTATGAAAAAGGGAGAGTCCGTTGATGTCTATTTTGCTCGTACTCTTACTATCACAAATAAAATGTGTGTTCATGGTGAAAAGATGGCCGACATCACTATAATTGAGAAAATTATGTGATCTATGTCCTCCAAATTTGATTACGTTGTTTGCTCCATTGAGGAGTCCAAAAATTTGGAAGACATGTCTGTTGATGAATTGCAGAGTAGCCTTTTGGTGCATGAACAACGGATGAGAAGTCATGTTGTGGAAGAGCAAGCCTTGGCCATAACGCATGACACCCACATCGCTGCACAGGTCGAGGTCGAGGTCGTGATGCTAATGGCCATAGTCGTGGTCGCGACAAAGAAAGTTTTGATTAGTCAATTGTGGAGTGTTACTACTACCATGACCTGGGACATTTTCAATATGAATATCCAAAGAAGAAGGCCAAGGGACTGAAGGTCAATTTTGTTGAAACAAGTGATGATGCATATGCACGTGAAGAAGTCCTTCTCATGGCCTATGTTGATGTTGATGGAGGAGCTTCAGGGAAAGAGGCTTGGTTTTTAGACTCAGGTTGTAGCAATCATATGTGTGGGAAACTGGAGTTGTTCTTATCTCTAGATGGCGGCTTTCGCAAATCCGTCAAACTGGGAAACAATTCCAAGCTGGAAGTTATGGGCAAGGGCACTATTTGCATGCAAGTTGGTAAAATTGTGCAAGTCATAAGTGAGTATTAGACAGTTGCAGGATAAAGACTTGGCCATTTTAATTCGAAATAACATGTGCAAAGTCTTTCATCCACAAAAGGGTCTTATTATTGAAACAACCATGTCTTTCAACCGAATGTTTGTTCTTCTTGCCATGATCCAGACACAAGATGACCATTGTTTGCATACTCATACGAAGAATCCAAATTACTTATGGCATTGCCGCTATGGACACCTGAGTTTCGAAAGATTAAAACTACTTCATCAACGACAGATGGTCAAAGGTTTGCCACCACGTACTGACTCCCAACATTTTATCGAAGATTGTATGATGGGAAAGCAGCATCGAAATCCATTCCCACGAAAAAGCATTTGGAGGGCCTCTCAAGTACTTCAGCTCCTTCATGCTGATATTTGCGGACCTATCTCTCTGATTTCCAATAGCCAAAAGAGGTACATCTTAACATTTATTGATGATTTTAGTCGCAAAATCTGGGTGTTCTTCTTGACTGAAAAATTAGAATCATTTAGCATCTTCAAAGCTTTTAAAACTAAAGTGGAGACAGAGAAGGAAACTTGCATCAAGAGGTTACGGACAGACCGCGGAGGGGAATTCACCTCAAAATCAGTCAAGGATTTCTGTGTGTCACATGGCATCCATCACCAACTTACAGTTGCCTACACACCTCAACAAAACGGGGTGGCTGAAAGAAAGAACCGTACAATTATGAATATGGTTCGTTGTATGCTCACCAGTAGATAAGTACCAAAGACTTTTTGGCCTGAAGCTGTAAATTAGGCAGTGCATATTTTGAATCAGAGTCCTACACTTGTTTTTCGCAACAAAACTCTTGAGGAAGCTTGGAGTGGATTCACACCCTCTGTTGATCACTTTTGGGTGTTTGGATGTCTCTCCTATGCTCATATTCCCGACAGCAAGCGTACTAAATTAGAAGTCAAAAGCTTGAAATATGCGATGTTAGGGGTCAACGATGAATCTAAGGCATACCGGTTATATGACCCTCTCACGAAGAAGATTATGATTAGCCGAGATGTCATCTTCAACGAACATGAAGGTTTGAATTGGGATGATAGTTACCATGAAGCTCTTCAAACTAATTTAGATTGGGGAGATATAGAAGACACTAAAGCTATGGTGGAAACTAATGATGAACTTGTAAAGCCAGAGGGCGCTGACAGTAATCATATGCCAAGAACTCTAGTAGCACCTGTGCCTGTGCCCACTCATGAGGACTTTGGAGATGATGCGGCCTCTATGAACCCAGATACAACTGAATCCAACACTGCTGGCCATATTGACAGTACAGAAACTTTTGCTATTGCTACTCGACGAGTTCCCAGACCTCTACAATGGCTGAATGACTTTGAAAGTGGGGAAGTTTTTCAGAAGATGAAAATTTTGGTAATTTTGCCCTGTTTGTGGGTGCAAATCCTCTATCCTATGCTGATGCTGTTAAAAATCCTACCTGGAGAAGTGCTATGGATTCTGAAATTGAATCTATTTGAAAGAATGCAACATGGGAGCTCACTGATTTACCAGCTAGAGGAAAGAAAGTGGGTATACAAGACTAAACTGAATGAGCATGGAGAAATTGACAAATATAAGGCCCGGCTGGTTGCCAAGGGCTATACTCAGCGACATGGGGTTGATTATTCAGAGGTTGTTGCACCCGTTGCCCGATTGGATACCATTCGGCTTGTTATTTCTCTTATAGCTCATAATAACTGGCCTATATCCTAGTTAGATGTTAAATCAGCATTTTTACATGGTCAGTTGGATGAAGAGGTGTATGTCGAGCAGCCCCTTGGATATGAATTGAAAGGTGAAGAACATAAGGTGTATCGGCTTCAAAAGGCATTGTATGGCTTAAAACATGCCCCACGAGCTTGGCATAGCCGGATTGAATCATATTTTTTGAAGGAAGGTTTCGAAAAATGTCCCCATGAACACACCTTGTTTCTAAAAAAATCTCCAGAAAGTAAACTCCTCATTGTTTGTCTATATGTTGACGACCTTATTTTTACTGGTGACGATGCAGCTTTGTTTACCAATTTTAAGCAATCCATGATGCAAGAATTTGATATGACGGATCTCGGTCGAATGCGGTATTTTCTTGGTATAGAAGTCTTGCAACAGGTTGATGGAATTTTTATTGATCAAAAGAAATTTGCTCAAGAGATTCTAGATCTTTTTGGCATGACTGCTTGTTATTCTGTACGTAACCCCATTGTTCCAGGATCTAAGCTTGTGAAAGACACTCATGGGATACCAGTGGACAGCACTATTTATAAGCAAATTGTGGGGAGTTTGATGTATTTAACAACCACAAGGCCAGATCTTATGTTTGTTGTGAGTCTCTTGAGCAGGTTTATGGAGCATCCCACCGAATTACATTTTCAGGCACCAAGAGAGTGTTGCGTTATATCAAAGTGACGCTTGATTTTGGTGTGTTCTATCGCAAAGAAGGAAATTATGAGCTTGTGGCTTACACTGATAGTGACTATGCAGGGGATCTAGAGGATAGGAAGAGTACTTCTGGTTTTTTTTTTTCTTATCTAGTTACGGTGTTGTGTCTTGGTCATCTCGAAAGCAGCCTATTGTCACACTCTTCACAACTGAAGCCGAGTTTGTCGCTGTAGCTTTTTGTTCCAGTCAAGCAGTTTGGTTGAGATGGATGTTGAAGACACTTCATCATGCTCAACAGGATCCTACTGTGATGTTTTGTGACAACAGCTCTACTATGAAGCTTTCGACAAATCCTATTATGCATGGTCAAAGCAAGCACATTGACGTCCGCTTCCATTTTCTTCGTGATCTCACCAAGGATGGAGTTGTGAAGATGACTTACAGTCATACCTAGGAGCAGATGGCTGACGCCATGACAAAACCACTTCCATTAGCTAACTTTGAGAAGCTGCGTGCCTTAATGGGAGTATGTCAAGAACCAAAGATAATCTGATTGTTATAAATCAGATTAAGGGAGGATAATGTTATGATAGGACTTTGACCTAGTAGTATTTGAGTTTGTTAATAACTCCTACTTAGTAGGGATTTTTGACTTATTCCATAGGTTATTAATGTAATGCGGATTTTGTGTTATTCAACTGATTTTGTATTGTTCTCAATTCTTGTATCTTCTCGTATTAACTCTCACATCAAATGTATCAATCAGACAACCAAAACTATGTAGTTTTTTTTAGTTAATATTCATGTCTAAGACAAATGTCCAACAGATAGAAAATTAATCTTTTATAAAATAGCATAAACTTTAAATTGTAACAGTTCACAAATAATTAAATTCATTAATTGCTCAACATTATTTAATAACAAAACTTAATTTGTCTTCCCCTTTTTTCCTTAAACTTCATAAACAAAATTGGTTTCTAATTTTGAATTAAGACGTTCTTTTTTTTTATCCCAAAATTTTGAACCTATAATATCAAATGGGACCCATTTCAAACATCGTTATGTACTAAATAGGTAATACTATTGTATGTGAAATAATGGTCTACATCTAGGAGATACACATAGTAGTAAAACATCATCATTGTGTTCCTCCTCGTTTTAGTAAGAAAGAAACTCCCAATTAAATATCATCATTTTATTTTAACATTCACATACTAATAAAATATTCCCTAATAGCTTCCTACCTATAGTAATAAATCTCTCTAATTACCCATCTAGGGAGAAAAATTCATAACCAGTGATACCCGTTTTGATTCTTTTAAATGTGCCTAATTTTAAAAGACCAAATCTGATCTATTTATAAACTTTTGAAGTGAACAATACACATAGCTTGTTTCGATCAAATTTTGTTAACACGATTCTCATCGTGTTATTGTAATGAGTTAAATTTGCTTTTTTTAAGTTCAACCCAACATCAAATGGTCCAATTTATCCATAATATTGTTATTATTGATTTTTTCTTGGTGTAACCACATCATAAACGATGATCCAATAAAATTTGCATGTCACATGTGTGTCAATAGAATTCACTTGTCCATTCCAAAGTCACACTAAATACACCCTAAATTAATTAAAAAAATTGAAGAATTATTATTTATACATTAGATTTGCCTCAATCATGTAAGCAATCAAAACTGTAATAAAGGTCATTAAACACAGTGCTTAAAAATGGGAAGACATCATTCATTGTAGCTCATCAAACATTATTAAAGACAGACATACCCAAACCCACTATCCCAAAGGCCAATCACATATGTAAGGCCTCCCTCCCTCCCTCCCTCCCTCCCAACTTCTTCCTCCGCCACCGCCACTTTGGCCCAGAAACTTGATGGTGATTTTTTTTTTTACTCTCTTAGAACAGGTGGTCCAAAGACATAGCTATGGCAATGCACACAAATAGCTATGATCAAAAAAAAACAAAGAAATAGCTTTGGCAATGCACACAGTAAACTTTGAAAAGTAAACAGTCTGCCAAATAAGTCAGAGTCACTGTTGGAGCTATTGACTTGGTCTGCAACGTGATAGCTAAATAATAGGTAGGAGTTGTTATTTAAACTGTTAAGTAAGCTAGTTTGTAGGAGTTGATTTGTTCAATTTTGTTTAGATATGTTTTCCTTGTATTTCGATTTTTCTGTTTGTAAGGCTTTATAAAAGCCTCAGTTATTTTTCTACTTGATTGAAGAAGGATTATCAGTTTCCTTTATTTGGTATCAGAGCGAGTAAGGACCTGATAAATGAAACATACAATTTGAGTGTTTGAGAGGAAAAACACGAAAACAGGAAATGTCAACTGATTCAGGAAGCTTCACAACACCATGTGTTCCAAAATTCGACGGAGATTACGATCACTGGAGTTTGATTATGGAAAATCTCCTGTGTTCTAAGGAATATTGGAGCGTTATTCAATCTGGTTTCGAAGAACCAAAGGGAAATGAAGCCGTAGACACAGCCCAACAAAAGGCAATCGACGAAGCAAGACTCAAGGATCTCAAAGCAAAGAATTATCTCTTTCAATCCATACATAAGAGTATCTTGAAAACCATCACTCAGAAGGAGACTGCCAAGCAATTGTGGGATTCAATGAAAGTCAAGTATCAGGGAAGTGCTAGAGTGAAGCGGGCTCAGCTGCAACGACTTCGCAGAACATTTGAAACTCTAGAAATGAAGTCAGGAGAAGGTGTGTATGAGTATTTTGCAAGAGTTATGTCTACTACTAATGACATGAGGAATTGCAGAGAAGATATGCCCGATGTCAAAATCGTTGAGAAAATACTTCGGAGTCTCACAGAAAAATTCAACTTCGTAGTATGCTCAATTGAGGAATCCAAAGATATTGACAAACTCACAGTAGATGAATTACAAGCATCTTTGCTTGTACATGAACAAAAGGTGATTGAGAAGAGGAGTGAAGAGCAAGTTCTACAGGTGGAGAATGAGCCAAGGAATGCACAAGGAAGAGGCAGAGGGACATTTCAGAGAGGAAGAAGTCACCTTAGAGGACGGGGAAGAGCTAGGCCTTTTGTCAACAGGTCAGCCATTAACTGCTTTCGATGTGGAAAGCAAGGACATTATCAATTTGAATGCTCAAGCTCAGAAAAGGGAGTCGTCAACTATGCTGAATTTAACGAGGAGGAAGAACTACTCTTGATGGATCACACAGAAGTCAGTAAAACTGAAGGAAAGGGCATTTGGTTTCTCAATTCCGGGTGCTCAAATCATATGATAGGAGACAAAACCTGGTTTATTGAGCTCGATGAAAATTTCAAACACTCTGTCAGATTGGGAAATAGTTCAAAAATAGCAGTTGAAGGAAAAGGCAGCGTCAGATTTAAAGTAGAAGGTATCACACAAACCGTGTCAAATGTGTACTATGTTCCCAATCTCACCAACAATTTGCTAAGCATAGGCCAACTACAGGAGAACTGCTTGGTGATCTTAATTAAAGAAGGAACCTACAGAATCTGTCATCAACAAAGGGGCCTGATAATAAACACACAAATGACTGCAAATCGCATGTTCCTGGTTTATGCGAAGATGAAGTCGTTGCCTGGTAACTGCTTGAAGATGGAAGAAGAAGACTTGGAGATTCTCTGGCACAGGAGATATGGGCACTTAAACAACAAGTCTATTCAAATTATGCAGTAGAAACAAATGGTGAAAGGACTACCAAAATTAAAAGAAGCAGACAAAGTTTGCAAAATATGCAACGTGGGAAAGCAACAACGACAAAAATTTCCAAAGAAAAGCAAGTGGAGAGCATCAAATAAATTGGAATTAATTCATGGAGATCTTTGTGGACCAATCACTCCAATCTCCCACAGTGGTAAGAGGTATTTGTTGGTGCTTGTAGATGATTTCTCTCGGAAAACATGAATTTATTTTCTTGCAGATAAATCAGAAGTTTTTGAAACATTCAAAAACTTCAAAAACCTTGCTGAAAAAGAAGCAAAAACAGCCATATGTGGATTCAGAACTAACAGGGGAGGAGAATTCACATCAAATGAATTCAACAAATTCTGCAAAGATAATGGCATAAGACGACAACTAACAGCAACTTACACTCCACAGCAAAATGGAGTCGCAGAAAGAAGGAATCGGACCATCATGAACATGGTACGATGTCTGTTGTCTGAGAAGGAGATGCCGAAATCATTGTGGCCAGAAGCAGCTAGATGGACAGCTCATGTTTTGAATCGCAGTTACACAAAGGCAGTCAAGGACATGGTACCTGAGGAGAGGTGGACAGGAGTAAAACCAAATGTAGAATACTTCAGAGTATTCGGTTCGATTGCACATGTGCACGTCCCTGAACAAAAGAGAATTAAACTTGATGATCGAAGTCACAAATGCATCTTGCTTGGAGTTAGTGACGAATCTAAGGCCTATCGTTTGTATGATCCGGTGACAAAGAAAATAATCATAAGCAGAGATGTCATATTCGAAGAAGGTGGAAAATGGGATTGGAACTTGAGTACAACAGAGGCAGAGCATAATGTGTTGGCTTGGGGAGACGATGATGATATTGCCACAGAAGAGTCTGAAGGAGAAGAGACTGATGGAGAACCTAATGAAGTAGAAAACGGCAGTTTAGAAGCAATTCCAGAAACTGAGGAATCTTCACCAGAATTTCCACAACAGACAAGAAGAAGGAGAGAGCCCGTTTGGATGCGCGACTACGAAACTGGTGAACGCTTGTCTGAAGAAGAAGAATCAGATGAAAGCTTAGCTTTTCACATCTCCAACGATGATCCAATAAACTTTGACGAAGCGGTGAAAGAAAAAAGGTGGCAGGAGGCCATGAAGCTTGAAATTCAAGCTATTGAGAGAAATCAGACCTGGGAGCTTGTGCCATTGCCACATCGAGCAAAGAAAATTGGTGTCAAATGGGTTTTTAAAACGAAATTAAATGAAGAAGGCAAAGTAGACAAATGTAAAGCTAGACTCGTCGCCAAGGGATATTCACAAAAAGCAGGAGTAGACTACAATGAAGTGTATGCGCCAGTAGCACGATGGGATACAATCAGAATTCTGTTGGCACTGGCAGCTCAACGTGGATGGTGCATCTATCAACTTGACGTTAAGAGTGCTTTCTTGTACGGTGAATTGAATGAGGAGGTTTACGTTGACCAGCCGGAAGGGTTTGTCAAAAGGGGAGAAGAAAACAAGGTGTATCGGCTGAAGAAGGCTCTCTACGATTTAAAGGAAGCTCCAAGGGTCTGGTTTAGCAAAATCGAGAGTTATTTCAAGAAGGAAGGATTTGAGAAAAGCAATTACGACCACACCTTGTTCTTGAAGAAAAATGGAGATAAATTGTTGCTGGTAAGTCTTTATGTTGATGATTTGATTTACACAGGAAATGATGAGCATATGTGCACAAATTTTAAGTCGTCAATGCAGAAGGAGTTTGAGATGACAGACTTGGGAAAAATGAAGTTCTTCCTTGGAGTTGAAGTCTATCAAAACAAAGGAGGAATTCATCTGTGCCAAAAGAAGTATGCTAAGGAATGCTTGGAAAGGTTTAATATGTGGAATTGCAATGCTGTAAAGAATCCAATAGTTCCTGGCACTGTCTTGTCAAAGTTAGGCAGCAAAAATGCTGATGCAACACTGTACAAACAACTGGTAGGATGCTTAATGTACCTAACGGTAACTCGTCCTGATTTAATGTTTGTGGTATGTTTGATTTCTCGTTATATGGCTGATCCTAAAGAAGAACATATGATGATTGCTAAGAGGGTACTGAGATATTTAAAAGGAACATTGGATTTTGGAGTCTATTACAAAAGGAGCACAGATGTAAATCTGCTGGGATACACAGACAGCCACTATACAGGAGATGAGAATGACAGAAATCTGCTGGGATACACAGACAGTGACTATGCGCGAGATATAGACGATAGGAAAAGCACTTCAGGCTATGTTTTTCTTCTAAGTGGAGCAACAATATGTTGGAGTTCAAGGAAGCAAGGAATTGTCACTCTATCATCCACAGAAGCTGAATATGTGGCTGTCATTGCATGTGCATGTCATGGAGTTTGGCTTAAAGGAATTCTGAAGGAGTTGGGCGTAAAAAACTGTGAGTGCATCAATATTATGTGTGATAATGGTTCAGCAATTAAGTTGTCAAAGAACCCAGTTATGCATCGAAGGACAAAACATATTGATGTTAGATACCATTACTTGAGCAATCTGTCAATTGATGGAGCTGTGAGGTTAATTTTTTGTGGAACTAAAGATCAAGTGGCAGACATAATGACTAAACCAATTAAGTTGGACCAATTTGTGAAACTCAGAAGCTTGCTTAGTGTTCGACGACTTAAGGAATAAACTGATGCTGATGCAGCATATTTCAGTTTACAAGGAGGAATTTGTTGGAGCTATTGACTTGGTCTGCAACGTGATAGCTAAATAATAGGTAGGAGTTGTTATTTAAACTGTTAAGTAAGCTAGTTTATAGGAGTTGATTTGTTCAATTTTATTTAAATATGTTTTTCTTGTATTTCGATTTTTCGGTTTGTAAGATTTTATAAAAGTCTCAGTTATTTTTTTATTTGATTGAGGAAGGATTATCAGTATTCTTTAGTCACGACGACGTCGTCCCAGTCTCAGGAAAGTCGGCCTTTATTTCCTGGTCCCACCACCTCGCCAAATCTGGGCCCCAATGACATCGTAAACTGATCCTCCACACCAGTCGAATCTAAAATCATTCCATTACTATTACAGTACCTCATCACCTCATTATTCGTGCCATGTTCGATTCCCTCCTGAATTTCTCTCTCTCCTCTCTCTATCTCACTTTGAATCGAGTTGAGAGAAATTAGAAAGATAGAGACAAAGATCTCGGTTGGAGGAGTTTTCTCCCTGAAAAGTTTCTCTCTCCTGCAAATGAAGACCAGCCCAAAGCTCATAGTCCTCCACCCATCAATCCACAAACAAGGAGGAGCAAACTCCCACCGTACATGGTTTCTGATTTTCGTGTCCTTCTTCACATTTGCCTTCGCTGTGACCCTCATCACCACCAGAGACGCTATTCCCACCACCACCGACTCCACCACCAAAACACCACTACCCAAACACGTTTTCGATGCCCTCCTCCACTACGCTTCCTTCACCTCCAACTCCACCGCCTCCTCCCACATGTCCTCCGCTGAGCTCAACTCCATCGCCGCCGTACTCCTCCGCTGTGCCACCACATGTAACTTCCTTGTTTTCGGATTAACCCACGAGACCCTCCTCTGGAACTCTCTCAACCGCAACGGCCGTACCGTCTTCGTCGACGAAAGCGCATATTTAGTGTCGAAACTCGAAGAAAATCACCCAGAAATCGAAGCCTACGACGTTCAATTCACAACCAAAGTGAGTGATTTGTACGAACTATTAGAGTACTCAAGAGACCAACTTCGAAACGAATGCAGACCTGTACAGAACCTCTTGTTCTCGGACTGCAAATTAGCCATCAACGACCTTCCAAACCACATATACAACGTCGCATGGGACGTGATTTTGGTGGATGGGCCACGTGGGTACTTTCCCGGAGCTCCGGGGAGGATGCCGGCGATATTCACCGCCGGCGTACTGGCGAGAAGCAAGAGAGGAGGTGAAGAAAAGACCCATGTGTTCGTACATGAGATTGAAAGGGAAGTGGAGAGAGTGAGCAGTGATGAGTTCTTGTGCAGAGAGAGTTTGGTTGAGTCTCTGGACTTGTTGGGCCATTTTGTGGTGGAGAAAATGGAAGCGAAGAGATTTGAGTTCTGTCCAGAATCTGAAGAATCATCGTCTTCTTCATCACCAACCTCATATTCAGATGATTGATTTTTTTTTTTGTAATTGGAAATATTATTATATAATGTTCTTTCCTACTCTGATTGTAATCTGTATGTTCCATATGTTAATATTAAGAAGTAATTATGATATTTTCTACAGTTTTGTGGTATCTTGTTTTCCCCTCTTGAATTTCAAAATTTCTTAATTTTGGAAAAATCTTAATATTTTTTTTTTGATTAAAACAGCAGCGTTTTACACGAAAACAACGTTGTTAATCAAAACGATGTTATTTTAACACCTCCGATGCTAAAAATTATCAGCAGCGGAGTCGGATATGATGTATAATAACAACATTTATTGTTTTTTTTTTTCCTAATTGGTAAAATTTATTGTTGATTGTATCTTTGTTTATTGATGGTGTATATTAAAAATTATAATGCTAGATTGATTAAAATATATATATATATATATGTTAGATGATGTGATATTATCGTAATAGTGTTGTTAGTTCTCTTTTTACGCAATTAAAATATTTTTATTATAAAAATAATATATTATTTGATTCTTATTTTTAATTTTGTGATTATGTATTTGATTGATCTATTTATAATTATTAATAATGAATAATATAAAATTTAAAATAATAAATAAATAAATTTACACTTAACACATATCACTTTCCATCCGAAACTAACAACAATGTTGTCCTCACCAATCAACACTTACAGGGGAGAAGAAAATGGCCGGTGAGCAACTGGCTGCTGTCGGGGATGGACTAGTAGCGTTGTGTGGAGACTGACTGTAACTCTAGCTTTCGCTTTCTTTTTTCTTTAAATTAAATTTATAATTATAAAATATATGATCATTTTTATTTATATTTTGATATGATAGCATAAAATTTATTTTAATTTTTTTTTTGTAAAAAAATGTTATATTTTTTACACGATTATTAATATCTGAATTTATAATTTAACTTTATTACCATTTCGGCTATCTTTCGATTATAAGTCATTATGTTCAAAAAAAAGAGTGTAGTCCTTTTTATCCGGTCACGTGAAGCACTTGACGAAAGCGTACGTTACTGAGAGTAAAGACAGACAGAGTGTCAGGGAAGGGAAAGCGTAGGAGTCATGTATGTCGGTGGAAGGAGAGAGCCATATGCCATTCAATTTAATTGCACGGACGCAACTGCCATAAACGGTGTCGCATTCTATTATACATCGCGTCACGTTCAATAGTACGTATGTTTTTCAAAATTAGTTAAATTTTACTCAATTTTTTGAAAAAATCAATGGTAATGTACATAATTATTCGTATATTTAATTTTAGAACGAAAGCTTTAAGATATTTTAAGAGATAAATTATGAATAATTATTATTAGTGTTAAAATATAAATATTTTAAGTTATACCTTTTCTAAATTTGTAAATAAGGCTGTATTTAATAGTTAGTTAAGATAAAAAAAGAAACGGGGTCTAGATCACATGAAGTGGGGTCCGAGACAAAAACAATAGCAGAAAAATAACAAATTTCAAAAATTAAGTTAGAGCGAAAACATATTGATAGCATTACATTATATCCATTTTCAGAGTACAAATTCGACTAATATGCGACAAACTATTTAATTTTTGAATATATGTTGATTATCAAGTCCAAAAATTGATAATAATAATAATAATAATAGGATAAATATAATCCAAGTTTGATACATATCATCTTTAAAAAATAAAAGGATTAAGAGGTTAAATCTCATCAAAACTCTAAAACAACCATACGTTTAATTTAATTTCAAAATAGTTACAAAATTAAAGTTGAATTTTTTTGTTAGTCGAACTTATAACTTTTTTCAATCGAGAGAAATAATTCGCGTAGAATTCTTTTTTAAAAGCATGAATTTGCGTGCAAAGCGCTAGAACACGACTAGTTGTACATGAATTGTGAGACACGTAATGAGGTATTATATGTATTTCAAATGTAGAAACCAAAAACCCTTCATCTCTATTTATTAATAATATAGATGTGTATGATTGTATTATGTTATATTTAATTCCTGATGTATATAAGTTATATGCAGTGCATTCATGTCGTATTTAACTAAATTACAATCGATCTATTTATTTTTATTAATTACTCGAATTTATTCAGACTAAATTCAAGCTGTATGGAATGAGATTTTTAGTTTATGTGGAGTTTTTTGAGAGGTGAATTCGATTGAGATACAATCGGGATATGGTTTGAATGGACTGTCAATGTCAAATAATGTAATGAATCTCATGTTGGTTGGATTGGGCCTTTTTTCCTTGGACATAGTTGGACCCGTGAAAGGTGGGTAATTGAATGAAGTATGAACCACTGCCACAGACTGAAGTTTTGAGTACTTTTTCTGTTATGGTACACAATGACCTATCTTTAATTTAGCGGAACTCGCCGCCTTGATTTTCTCTACCTACCATAGCCAATGCATGTTATATGTTGCTGGGGTGCCCATGGACCAGATTATTCGCGGATCTCGTTATTCAAAATTTGATAAGTTTGATTATTAGTCTGTTCGAGTCTGATCTTGAGCTCAATATCTTTAAAAAGATGATTTAGAGTTATCACTAAATTCATTACCCGGCCTCAAGCCAAGCCTAAGAGTCCGGTAGCCAAATCCAACCCATCCACATAGTCCATTTACCTTTCGTTTAAAAAAAAGTTATATTTTTAAATCATTAAATTTGAAACTTTGAAATAAGTCTCCTAATATCGCAATTTGAAATTTTAAAATTTTAAATATTATAAATAATGAATTATTTTATTTTTTATGTATTAAACATACAAATTTAAAAAAATAGAGTAATGCAAATGATAGATAAGTGAGTAAATGTCAACCTAGTTGGGATATATTCATTCTATTGAATGTAGTTCAGTCCCTAATTAAAAATAAAATTATTCATTATTTTATTTTTATGTATTTTAACTTTATTTTTGATTCAAAAATATAGTTTACACAAATATTAAGTTACAAAAATATTCATTATTTTTATATGAAGTTGTATATAACAAAGCTCATGAGCAGGCCCGCCTAATAGGCTCGCGGGTAGCCTATCCCTACTCGAAGTCCTGCCCGGTCCAATCGATAACTCACTTGAATAAGAGATTAAGTTTACGCTACCAAGCCCGACCCAAAAAAAAATTCGCGGGCCAAGCCTATATTGGCTCATAGACACTCCTATATGTTGCCCATAACTAGGCTCGTCAACGGATCAATAAGGGTGATAATTTTCAACACGACATGACAATATGATACGAATAAATAGGTCTGGGTTGATTTTTTTTGATACAAATCCGTATTTGACACAATTCGCCAACACGAATTATTAAAAGGTCCTGTTCGGATTCAATTCATTTAACTCAAAATTAACCCCATTGACCCTTGTATTTAATCGGGTCGACATGAACTCGATTAACCTGCATCGAACCCAAAATTGCTCAACACTATTTAAATTAACTTAGTTGGATCCCTAACCCCAAATTCATTCATTTGTCCCCCCCCCCCCCCTCTACCTCCCTCCTAATAATTCAATTGGTCTACCTCCCACACTAGGGGTGTCAAACGTATCAAGTTAAACGATTATATGTCGGGTTAAACAGGTGACGGGTGAAAAACATATAAACTCATACACAACACGTTTAATAAATGGGTAAAAAATTTCAACACAAACACGACTCGTTTAATAAACGGATAACACGACACAACTCGTTTAATTTTAAAAAAATTATATTAACAAATTTTAATACTCTACTACTTTTTTATTGTCAATTGCATTTACCTCAAAAAAAGAATTTTTAGTCAAATCTCATAAAAATAAGACTTAAAGGCTTAAAAAAATGAAGCAAAAGGTCATTACTTTTTACTGGCAATTCAACCCTCTCCATCTCTCCTCATTTTCCAATGTGGGACAAAAAAAAAAGGCATTAGTTTGTCCTTGTCTTTGAAATGTTCCTCATCTCCTCTCTTTTATCTTTGAACTATTATTTTACTTTTTTTTTTATTAATTTCTTTACTTTTTTTTTTCTTGTTAATTTTTTAAAATATTTATTAATTTATTATTACATTAATTTTATTTAAACGAGTAAACGTGTGATAAACGGTTTAATGTGTCAACCCGTTTATTAAACGTGTTTGGCGTGTCAACCCGTTTATCACTCAAACCCGTTAAAATCTCACTCAAACTCGCTTAATTGGTGTCGATTCGTGTCGGTTAATTGTTTCGTATCGAATTTTGACAGCCCTATCCCACACCACCACCTTCCTCTCCCTTCCTCAGGCCCTTACTCACCACCACACCACCAACCAGACTAGGTTAGCTCGCTCCCTCTCTCTCTCTCTCTCACACACACACACACATACACATACAACACACGCAAATCTGCACTTCACTACTCATCCCTCACTTTCACTGCACTTGTACATCACCGTTGTTTTACAGCCCCAAGTGAAACACCCCTTGCCAGCATCCAGTCACACAAATTTTAGATCCCTAATTCAGATCTATGGTTTCAATTGTTCAGATTTTTAGAATATGTCTTAGATCCCTAATTCAGACGTTTAGATTTTTAGATTATATTTTAGATCCCTATTTCAGATTGCAAATTCAAAGCTGTTAATACTATAGATTGATTTTTTATAGCATGCTGTTAATACAATAGTAGATTTGTGATTTCTTGTAGCATGATGTTAATAATACATATTAGTTTGTAATATTTGTATTGCTTTGGGGTATTTGTATTGTTTTGGAATATTTTAATGCTTTGGATATTTATTTTGGGATTTGTAATACTTTAGAGATTTGTATTATTGGGGATATTTGTAATGCTTTGTAATGTTTTTAATATCTTTTTTTGGTAATGTAGGTTCAAATTGTCCTTTTTTTTTTGTTCTAGGTTTAAATTAATTAAATTGATGGATAAGTTGATGTATCTTGATTAAATTATTGGTACAAGATATAAATTGTTTTTAATGTCTTTTTCTTTTGTTTTGGGTCGTGTCGGGTGGGGTTGTTTTTC